CCCCACCCACTTCATCCCCAAACCCATTACATTTTAATAAAACAAACTATGAAACATAAGTCCTTCCCACTCTCATGCCCTCAGGACAAAGGAAAATTCTTCTTTGCACTGTGGGGAAAAAAATCTCTGTAGACATTTTCTGCTGTGAACAGGGTGGACCTGTTACGCCCTGTAACTACCAGCCTGATTTAGAACCCCTGTAAAGTCAAAGCAGTGCCAGGGTATCTATATAACAAATCAGAAGAGGGTCATAGGGGAAAGTGAGAAGAAATGAGAGATGGCCATGAACACAGACCTCTGTCAGCTATCCACTTCTCAGTCATCATCAACTCTCAAAGACAGAGACAGTTTCAGTGCAACATTCTAGAAATGCCCAACATGCTTCACAGGAGAACACTGCCTTGGTATTGTTGTTTACTTCCATGTGCTTGGTATCATTTGGTACAGGTTACTTTCTGCCCACCAGCCAACAAAATAGAGTCAGCTTCTTATATTCCACAGTTTCATTAGGAAGCCACTTGTTTACAACCTCAAAATTATTTGCCCAGAGGAAGTAATTCTTTGGACTCCACATAAGCCTAAAAAGTCCATATTTACCTGAAAGACTGCACATATGATGAAAATTAGAGCAAAATAGGGCAAGCAACTAACACAAGATTGGACGAAACAAAAATAAATTAATCATATCCTGGATCTTGAGGGAAATGAGGTTAATTAGAGAGGAGAGGTAGATTGAGAGTTTAAAAAAATTTCAAGTTAGTTTCCAGGACTTTCAAGTTTTCATGCATCAATTCTGATTCTTTTTTTTTTTCAAATGGAGGCTACATATGTCCTTGATGGTGGTGTGGCCACTCACCTTTAGCTTTGATTGGAGTCATTTAAGGGTTCACAATTGAGACTCACAGGAAGAGAGGAGGAGAAGGCAGAGGAGAGAGACTTTACAGAAGGACATAGGCAAGAATTACAAGACAAGGGAAAAGATGAGTTAAATTGAATGTGTGGCTGGATGAGGTGAAAAAACATCCAACTGGTGTTGACTATGATCCGAAATGGACAAAAAGAAAAAATATACCAAAATAACTGAACTAGCAAAGATTGATTCAAACCATTCCATGCACCAGCCACGAGAAAACACTATCTGCTAAAGAAAATTTCTTTTGGAAGTCAGAAGCAGGCTGGGGATGAGTGGGTCAGTATTTGAAGGGCAGATGAGAAGGACTCAACAGTAATGCAAGTGCAAGCACAGGATGTTTGCAAATCAGGTTCTCGTAACTTGGGGAATGCCTGCACTTTAAGGAATAACATCTATGCGGGAAACTTGAAAAGCCAAATGAATGCCCATGAATATATATATATTAAAATAGATGTTGAAAAGTTAGGATGCTCCCACACATTTTAAAAATGTTCTACACAATAGGAAAAGCAAGCATGCAGAAAAAGCTCAGTAGAAGAAACTGCAAATGTATTAACCGTTAGGCCAATAATATCATCTGGCATTGTCGGTTGTCATGAAATGTCTAGATATATTTCAGTGGTTAATAAAAAGACATTACCATGTGATAACTGATGGTTTTATACCACTGTCTGACTAGCCTAGAAGTTGCTGAAACAGCAAATCGTTTTACGAGCACTCTAACAAGCAAGCACTAGAAGAATACTTTTCAGAATTGAGATTTTAAGAGCAGATACTGATTACCTTGCGTACCTCCTGGGCTTGACATGGTTTCCCATCTAAAGGGCTGGATCTGAAACAGTGTGGCACCATTATGCATTGGAGAATGCTATAGAGAAGGCAGGGCCCACTATCAAGAGGAGAAAAGAAGAAGATGGCGTGACATCGGTCCACCCATGGTTGTAGCAGAAACAGCATTTTACTGTCATGACAATTCCCTGTAGTCTGTAAGTTATTTCATTTGTATTTTTTGACAAGATTGATATTTTACAGTTGGCATATTAGTCAAATATTATATACAGTAGTAAGAGGCAGTCGTTGAGAATCATCCTCCAAATATTACTGAATATTATTAACATCTTTAATCTAATGTGGCTAATGATTTGTGTTCTCTCACTTGCACTGCCACTAGTTTGTAAGCAAACTTGGTATTTCTTTATGAAGAGAATAAGAGTTATGTTTAACAATTAAATCCAGCCTGGCATGTTTTACGAAATTAGCATTCTGACTAATAGGATTTCAGTAGACACACAAAACTGATCACAGAGCAGGGTAGAAGAATACTTTTTAAACACCTGGCCCTACAAGTAAGCATCATCATTATTATTATTATTATAAATAATGAATTAACTCATTATTGTGCTTTTAGGAAATCTTGTCCTGTAGGCAAAAAAACACTTATGATAAAGTAATGAGCCATTATTATTACTGCTACCATTAATAAAAATTAATATTAAACTTATAAAAGTAAAAAACTATAATTTATTTGGTTTCTACTATATGAGATACATTGGTCCTTTTCCTCTCATGTTCCTATTGCTCATAACCACCCTGTGCAGAAAGTGTTGTCATGTTTTTACCAAGGAGGGTACCAAAATGCAGAGAGTACACAACTGGCCTAATGTCACTTAATCAAGGCAGCGCTTTAAATCCAGATCTGCCTGAATTCAAAACTTGAGTTTTTCCTCTCATGCTGTAGACATGTGTAGATAGGACTGCCTTTGTAGTTTAACGTACTTGGTTCATAAAAACTAGAAAAATGGAAAATTAAAGTATTTGTTTATTCTGACTATAAAGATAATAAATTTTGAGCAGACAGAGGGTAGGTTCCCTATAAGATGAACAGACTCCGCCTGGAGTAAATGCTGCTTCTGCTTAGCTGACCTTATATCCCTGGTGCTGCCACCCCTCCCTCAGAACGAGTGAAACTATCTTGCCATTCCGTGGACCATGTGGTCCGGTGGAGCTGGAAAGATGGCGGTGTAAATCCTGGCTCTGCCACTTTCTGACTATGCATCTGGGAATACATTATTTAACATTTCTGAATTTCAGTGTTCTCATCAAAATAGAAGGAGAATTCGCACAGCCTTTCAGGATTGTCATGATTAGGGACGTGTATGAAAAGTACCTCAATAGTTGTTGGGACAAGTTGGGAGAATAAAGAACTGGGACTTCACTATTCTTTCTAAGACTGCAACTCTTTTTGAGGCTGAGGGCCGAGGGCTAAGGAAGACCTCAGCTTGGAATACCCATGCTACGTAAGGTATCCTCTCTAAGAGCTCTCTCAGAACAAAAAGGAAAAAGGGCTTAAGCCTAAGATGGGACTCCTATCCTGGTAAATTAAGAGAAGCTGGTAAGCTTCTTCCAGCCCCGGAAAGGTCAGCAATTTGATCTATCAGCTGTGCCACCCACCTAGTAACTGCCTTCCTCACATGACTGTTTTCTCTCTGAACTGGGTTTTGTGTGACACCCCAGGCAGATCTGCAGACCCTGATATATTGGCAGATCCATCACTGGACTAGTTGTCCCTCATTGGTACTTGAATTTTCTGAATAATATAAACTTAATGGGTATGGAATATTCCTGTCTTGTATAAAACTATACCTTCCTGCAACGCAGAGAATTATCTTGGTTTGAATCTTCTAAAATGTAAATAGTGTTACTATTCCCAAACCAAAAGTTTTCAAATTAATCTTTCAGGTAATATTTTCCATGGTAATATAGGAAATGAGACAAAGGAAAGTCAGAATTGCTTTACCCAGGTTTACTTCACCACTTTCCTGAAATGCATCATTTTCAGAGTTAACAGTTTATAAATACTGAGAATGATTAAACAAAGCCATTGAATACTCCCAGCTTTATTATCAGAACGGGTTTAGCCTCAGTGTTTATCCCAGAACCAAACCATTTTGGAAAACTAAAAAAAAGTTCATAAATAAGAATGATGATCGTGAAAACACAGAAAACCTAAGTCATATTTAATGGAAATGGGAGTCACCTGCCAAAGCTGATGCCTAAGTGAGCATACACGAGCAACAGGTACCATGGGGAATACATGAGACATCGTTATCTGATCGAAGGGAATGGAATTCTGCTCATAGGTCTGCCTTCATTGCAGACTTACTGGGAAAATCCCCAAATCTCTAAGTACCTTAGCTTTTCTCAATTTTAAGAAAGAAGAATTGGGAGACTGCTATCTGCCCAAACTTGCTGGAAGCTTCTCCAAACCATTCTTATTTTAAAAGTGAGAAACTAAGATGAGGAAATTTTGAATAAATTAAGCTAAAATAAAGACAGTAAGCCCTGCCCCATTTCCGGAGCAGTTTGCTCTGGAGGGAAGGGAAAAGTGTGTGCAAAAACTCTTGGAAAAGTTGAAAGATGTATGAGTATGCAAAAGTTTGTTACTATTAAGAAGGAAAGTGGTCTTGAATCATAGAAGACAGGTTTCAAGATAGATTTTTTAAATGATGCTGAAATATGCTTTGAGGAGAGGATGTTGGAATTTCTAAAAAGAAAATTATCGAAAGCTGTTTCTTGGTGTGGTTTAAGTGCTAGCTGAAGACAAGTTGAACTATATGACTTCCTAAAATTCCTCGGAGCCTAGAGTCTTTGAAATTTAACCTGGAGCTTGCAGACCACACATTTCATTTAGTGATTCACTTGAAAAACATTTGCTGAGTGTGTACTAGGTGCTAGGTCTTGTGCAAAGCACTGGGGCACACAGTGGTCAACATGATGCAGTAAGACAAGGCCCCTAACCTGCAGCTGCTCCCTTACAGAATGAGACTGCCACAAGGACAGGGCGGAAGGGAAATGGTGAAGCAGGTGTAGTCATCTTGACTGTTTTCACCAGTCTTCCGCAGCTCTCTAATTCCAGCCTTTCTTTCTTCTTCTTAGCTCTCCACTCAGTCTGGCCCATCTTGCTGAGCGCTTTGCTACAATCTCCCTCACTTTCCACCTCCCCTTCCCTGCTATAAAGGTCTCAGATGGGAAGACACTGAGTCTTACTAAATGCATTTTTTTAATTTATTTATTTTATTGAGGATACATTAGTTTATAACATTATATAAATGTCAGATGTACATCATTACATTTTGACTTCTGTATAGACTGCATCGTGTTCACCACCAGAAGTCTAGTTGCCATTGCATTCTTAACAAATTTGTAATTCATAACCATTTCTTTGGAGGAGAGGGGATTATACTTTAAAAGATGATGTTTATTACTACAAATTAATGATTCTCTACGATAATTTATAGAAAATAAGGCAAAATGAAGAAAAGATATTTAGTCCAGATGTGGGAGATAGTTGATGAGAGGTATAATTCTTGGTACTCTTTAAATCACAGCACTAAAACCTGTGTTCTTACAAAGCCGGCTCTTTGTCTATGCCCTTTTATCTCAGGGTGCCGAATAGCTGGGGCTCCATGGATCGTCCGCCTGTCTCTCATTCCAGTCTCTGACATCATCCTAAGTGAATATCTGTTTTTTAACGTTATGTAGATTTCTGTTTCAGTGTAAGCATTTTACTTCTTTTGGGGATCCTAAAACTGTATGCTTCCACGATTTAAGTTGAAGTTATCTCAGGGGAAACAAAATATAGAAAGCAATAAAAAAAAGGTGTTGTTGAAATTCTGTTCGCCCACTGCCTCTTCAACGACTACCCAGTTCAAATGACACATAGACATAGCCTAGGTCTGTACCATTTGAATGACAAGTTGAAAATGAAAGCTGATGTCTGAATGTTTCCACGTATCCAAGTGTTTGGCATTATGTAGACAAATATATGGATGACGGCCAGTTTGTTAAAATGCTCGAGACGGTTTACGAAGACTCATTCTCATTCCCCAAAGTATTCCACGAAGGGCAAAATATCTTCACCCCAGTTTTCCTATGGAGACTATGTAAAAAGTGATTTTGAGAAAAGATAAAGGAGGCCTGTCTTCCTGCGTAGTATCAGATACTGGCCCAGAATAAATGCTTTTGGCTAGTCCAATAGGTAAAATTATCTACTCCTAAATTTCAACGTCTGGCATTTCTCCATTGTAGCTGACCTCATGATACTCTATTCCCTGAAAGGCATTTCTTTCCTCCCTCAGCTTTCTCCATTAGCCAGGCAAATATGGAGAGAAGTGGTCCTGCAAACATAGGTTTCTGAAAAGCAAAGATAAATATAAAGCTTTAGTTCATTCACATTAATTTTTAAAATTTCTACATTTGGATGAAATTAACCCTATTTGCCACATAAAACTGACAAGCCATACAGACTTTTAACACCCCATTAATCTTACTTTGTTAGACTGGGGCATGCACCAGCCAAAAACTGGAAATTTGATTAGCTGGTCCCATGCATTAGCTATCTCATTGGTATGGCATTTTAAAATATTTTCCAGATATACAAAGCCATGTTAGCTTTTTCAAGATCTGTATGGGGTTAAGCAAAAAACATACCAAACAACCTCCTTATAAAACAGTTCTACTTTAGCTACCAGAAAAGTGGTTTTCTCTTTGGGATTTTTTTTTTCACTGATAAATAATCATCTTGAAGATTATTGAACTTTGATTTGTGGTAACCTTTCAGCTCAGGATATTTTTTTTCCCCTAATCCTCTAGATTTATCAGGATTTAGTAAATTTTTTTCCAGTGGCAATTTGATAATAATTTTCAATTTTATACATTACTCTGGGGTTTTCAGAAAATCCTTCTGATGGACATGAATCCAATTGGAGTCATTTTGAAATGGATAGTCAATTTATTGGATTAGCTGATAAGGTGATGAAAATCTCTTCTAATCAGATGGATATCTTTAATGAATCAAAAAAGGCTTTTTCATCCATCTCTAACTCATTAAAGCCTTTGTAAATCTCGTGGAATGACTTAATGGTACATTTTATGTGTCTTTCTTCTTTTGTGATTTTTAAACAGCTTAGCAAATTGTTCATAGAGAAAACTGTGTATCACAGCATAAATGCTTCAATTCAGAAGCTAATGCAGCCCCCTTGCTCACAAGGAGCTGGCCAACCAAGCTGAAATCAGGAGGACACCAAAACTAATCTATTTTAGATTCTCTGAGACTAGAAAAATAAGTTGTAATGCACAAGGGCATTTTCTCCTGGAGGTTTCACCTGAGATTTCCATCTCTTCTCTCATCTCCACATTAAGCAAAAAGAATAGAAGCAGGGCCTGAGGCAAAGCAAGGCTTTTTCCTCTAAACTCCTGAATAGTGTCACAGTTGGTGAAAGCAGCTTATTTAACAGAGTGACTTACAACAGATATATTCACCTAAGGATTATTTCAGCTTCTCAGCAAAATGACTGGACAGTTAAAGGCATACGCCCTTTTTTTGCTGTCCTGTTCTTTAACTGATACTCATTTGCTAAACACTTCTACAGTACCACTAAGAAAACCAACACTCATTTCCATTTTGTTGGTATTCAAATTAATATCCACTACCTTTGTTCTCCTCTGGAAGCCTGGAATATACCCTTTGTTCACTGAGAAACTGCTATGGCCTACGGAGCTCTTAGCTCAATAAGCAACCTCAGTATTCTCAACAAGTACCTATATTCACTTCAAAGGAGAATAGAGAGACGAAGGCAAACTTAATTGCTTTTCCTGGGTGTCAGGTCACTGGCCATAACATATGAGCCACCAACGCCCCTGTGAACCTCTCACCTCACCTACTAGCACTTCATCCAGCTCCTGCTATGACAAAGTCACCAAATACCAGGCTAGAGCTGATGACTATTTTTAATCACAAAAGGTGTACAGCTATTCTCTTGTAATACAAAAACATCCATCAATCATACGACTTTTTGAACATATGTCATTCTACAATTCACAAAGTTTTAAGGTTAGCTCCTTTTAAGCCTAAAATTCTTTTCTTAGAACTTGCATTTCAGAAAATAAATCTAATTGTACCAGAAAGCACAGCTTTTTAAATTTGCAAATGCCTGTAAAAGTTGGCTGTGTGAGTTTTTATATGAAAATCACAAATTTATATCCCTCATATACATTATTTCTCTCCATCTGTACTTAGCCAATACCGTTGTACTTTGTTCGTAACCACCTTATTACACTATTTGCATTTTTTAAATATATTTTAGGATTGAATTTTCACCTGTTTCCTTGGTTCACACATCTCGTGTCTGATTGGAAAGGAGCTGCATGAACTTTAGCTGAAGAATTTCACATTTTCTCCTCATCTCAAGTGCAGTCTCTGGGGAAGAATTTCCTGTGGGAAGCATCTGTAGGAGTATCTCCATTGTTCTACGGAAAAGTAAGAACAGCTGCAAAAATGTTAAGAATAACCTATATAGAAAAATGTCAGACTAGGGGCACTCTTACCTTTCCTTTGACTAAACACAGCCATCTTCTTTAAGCACTTACTGAAAGGGAACTTGTTAACCAAGCTGACTTCCCCCAAACAGGCCAGATATCACTAAACAGAAATTCAATAGTATTTTTCTCAGTGCTATGGAAGATACTGTTAAATACCATTTATCATGTCTGGGTTAAAATGATTAATGAGGTGTATATTTCCTTTTTCTTCCCTCTCTCTCTCTTTTCTTTTTTAAATCTGTGATAGCATACCAAAGTTATAAGACCTTCTGGGTTTCTTGTAAATGGCCAAATTATGTGAAAAGAGATGCTTGTCCCACTATGTTGAACGGGAAAAAAAATAGAAAAAGTTTATAATATTATGATTATATGTTAAAAAATACATAATATTGATTGTATACACATACACATAATTCCTGAATTTTTCTCATTTGGTGGTTATTCATACTAAAAGCAAAAAGGGTAATTTATAAAATGTATATGTAACACATTTTGTAACCTAACTTTTGCTCAGTTCTTTTGTTCATAATATTGAAACATGATGGGGGCAGCATTTGTTTAAGCAAGATTTGCTCTGTCCTTGGTAAATTGTCAAATAGCACCTAAATTATACCCATGGGAACTCCCAAACTGTACTTAGAATTTTGAGTACTCTATTAGGAGAACATCTGTAAATAGTCTAATACATGAGCTCACTTGCAAACAGAGCCATATTGGTATTTCAAATAATCACCCTAGAATGTAAAAAAAAAATTTGAAATCAGACAGCACAGCAAGACGGTAGGTGTCGAAATTAAACACAAATGGAAATGACGTCATTACTTATATGCTAATTTTTTTATTCCTTTGGGTCCCTTTTTGTTGGGGTCATGTTTATGTTGCTATTCCCTTCTGAAAGATGAAAAAACAGATGATTCTAAACATTGTGCTGTGTTTTTAACAGCACCGTCAGAGCCAAGGTATGAATCTCATTTTTACGTAATACCCTACAATGCTATTTTCCCTGAGTTAGAGGTATGCTAAGAATGAAAAATGTCAGTATAATGGTAAATGTAAATGGTATAAATATAATCGTAAAGGTTTTACAGGATTTTTTTCTTTAACAAAAAATGAAAATAAAGAGAAAGTCCTGGGAAATATTCTGAAAGAGTGCCTATATTGCGCTAATTTAGCTTCTTATATGTCTATCCACTTCACTATGTCTGCAACCTCAGTGAATGGAATAACTCGTTTCTTCTTTTTGAAACTGAACCACACAAAAGGAAGATTATTAGATACATAAAGGAGATGCTACAGAAATCATTAAGTGTTGGCTGGTATGTTATAACGTAGGATAGAAACAATTGAAGGAATACGTGAAAATAATGAGACAAAGTTTGGAGGGATAACATATACAAAGTTTAGGTGGGAACACTATACCTAATCAAGGAGAAATGCAATTATGGAACTAAGCATTTGTAGTAGAATCACATTATATTAAAGGAGAGGCCAAATTTTACACTATCTTACTTTAGGGCAATGGCTAAGAAACTGGAGAATTAATTGAAGCTTGTGACTTTGGTCAGTTTCACAGAGATATGATGTCTGAGCACAGAAAACTTCGCTATGAACTCAATCAATGAAAGAGTTCTTCTATTGGACTTTCTGGAGCCAAAATTAAACACTGTCAGTAAATTTGCCCATAGAAAGAGTGATGAATACTTTGAGTAGTCCAACGATGCTACTTTGGGCACATTATAACTGTGGATTAAATTTAGAAACTATGTATCTACCAATGCCTTTTCTGTGTTCTTCATCGTGCTTAGTTTTGGGCAAACAGAAGGCGCTCAAACACTTTTTTACCTCCTGCTGTTCAGCACCTAGGAGGGCTTTCGACACAGAAGGAAAAGGCTGAATAGCATTGCATGATGTGATCACAGATTTGAAGCCAACATGGAAAGTTTGGCAAAAAGAACCTCACAAAAGAATAATTTTAATAGCAAAAAGTAACTGAGAAGTCAATATCAAAATGGAAAATATTGTAAAGATAGACAGTTTAGTGTGCCCAGAGAAAATCTCTTTCACTTGAGGAAAAATATACTTGAGTGCTTAAGTGTTGGTGTTGAAATTCCAAAATAGCATGTCTAAATTAAACTGAAAAATTTGCAACCAAGGACTAGCAATTCAAAATGCTGCTTGTGCTGATAATGACATATAAAATACCTAATATTAAAGGAGAAGTAAGAAGATGAGGGGAAGCAGGACAAGAAAGAGAAACAGAAGAAATTAGTTTTATATAATTTCCAGAGTAAAATAATTTGAAAGGAGGATTCTTGGTTCCTTTGTACCAGAAATCTTACAATTTTTTGCTTCAAAATTCTCAAAACTGATCATGATATTATTCTTACATCTATCCAATAAGTCAATGAACGTAGATCAGTACTAACGTTAGGAATATTCTCTTTTTCATGTTAAAAGATGAGGTAAATAGAAGATGAAGCAAAGAAAAAAAATACTTGAGCAATATCTATTATATATTAAGATAATAAATGTCATCTCTTTGTCCAGTCTAGGTAAAGGTAGTACAGCTAAAACTATTTGCAATTTATAAATAGATTTGGAAAAGATTTTAAATAAAATTCACTAGAGAGCACCAAATTGATCCCTAAAAACCACTCAACAAATTTCTTGGGATTCACTCAGATTAGGGATATATACAAGGGCAGCTGAGCAGTGCCGTAGAAGTTGACTGACTATCTTCTCTATTGAAAAGAGCTGCATGAAGGGAACTAAAGACTGACAAAGGATGAAAATATTTTTTATTTCACATTTTTGGTAAAACTTGGAGTTTTTCCTTCATAACCTCAAAACCCATACCATTGGATGAGTACCCCCTGGAGTCGACCAACCAAGCCGTATAACTTTGAGTGTTTTAAAGAAAGTGTCAAAAAGGTTAATCCAATTCTATACTAAAGCTTTCCCTCATGTCTCCAAAGTAAAGTTTAAAATATACGATCTAGTCTCCTGTGTCTGTTAATCCTTTGCACCTATGATTAGTTCCTGTTTATGTTAGCAAACAAAAAAAGATTTAATGTAGGTCAAAGGTTCTCTCAGCTTACTTCCCTTTTTAAAGAAATCAATATCCCGAAGAAACTTAACTCAGGTTTTATAAGTACTGAGCGTCTCTCAACAGTAAACAATAATGATGATGATGATGGCGGTGGTGGTGTGGGTTAGGGTCCCTGGTTGCAACAATTGGATTAGACACAACCTCAAATAGAATAAAAGCCAGCAGGTTACAAGGGTCAAACAAATTAAGCTTTCTTTGAGATTTGGATCAGCATCTGAGCCTAATAACTAGGTTTCTTAATTGAATAGTAAGAGCTATCACTCAAGTGTGGGGAAAACGGTGATGATTATGTAATGGCTTTCTATTGAGATTATTGTTGTCCACCATGTGGACTATTTCACATCACACTTCACAAGTTTTGATACTTCTGACATCTTAATCTAAAGTAGACACTGTTTAAAATGCTGTGATCACTAAAGTGCTCTAAAATATGAGCTATTTAAATATGTATTTCCTGGCAATTAATGCCTACCGGTGACAGTGACCAAATGTTTCATTACAGGATGGTTAATGAAAAGAAACCATAACTGAGGAGGAACATAAGATAATTAACCCAGACTTTTTTTCCCCTATAACCATCCACGTTGCCACAAAATAAACAGATTTAACATAGTTCTTTAATCTTCTTTAAAAGCATGACGATGGGAAATTTCCTACATAAAATATTGGATTGTGAATATGGTTATTAATCAAATTCTACATCCAGTTCAGGAATTGCACAAGAGGTTGTCAAACTTACAGAGAAAAGGTCAAATTAGTTTACATAGTATGGGTAAATTATTTTCCCATCTGAATATATGATTTTTCAAACTCAGACATTGTTTTTGAAGCCTAACAGAAAACAGAACATTGGATCGCAAGGGGTAGGGGAAATAAAAAGTCACCGAGTTAATGCTATGTCTGTTTTAATCAGCTACTCAGTAGAAATTTTTTAAAGCAAGTTACAGACACAATATGCACATACAGCAGGATTAACTATGTAGACAAAAGAAATTAACCTCAGAAAAAAATAAGAATAGAAGAAAATGCACCAAATTATTAACTGTGTGTTTGGGCAACAAGACTGGCAGTGATTTTGTTTCTCTTACTTCTTTTGCTTCCCTTTCATCTTAATTAATAGGAATTATTTTAAAGAAGTATGTTATTATAAGTATTTTAATTAAGACATTTCTTCTTACATAAGAAATAACTTCAATTTTTACTGATGCTTTTCAAGAAATGTGAAAACTATCTTAAGCTGATGTTTTGTTTTAGTGGTTGTTTCTGCAGAAAAAAAATGCAAGTGTTTAACAAGTACAGTTTAGTAGGAAAGACAATTCCTCATCTACGCTGCCTTAATTTAGGACTTCTAAGGTTCAAATCACAAATTAAATGGCTTCCAGAAACATATTTAATATACACAAGATTAGTTCTGTATTTCATTTTACTTCTCCAAGTATGTTATCTTTTCAGTGGTAAATGTTGGCCTCTTTTCAGTAAACAGTACATTTGGCAAGAACTGGAGCATTTTCTCGGCTATGCAAGTGATGATTAATGATTCAGTGCTCAACAGCATCATGATGATTTTCACTGGATCCTTGGTAAAAAATATACATTGTTTATATTTTCCTTCTGCACATTTGTATATGTAAAATGAAGAGCAAGATCCAGCTAAGATCACATGGCATGAGGTTATGTATTTAAATATACGCATTTCATCCTCCTGAATCAACTCTGCTTCCCCACTCCCCCCAATTCATGGAAAGGAGAATACTGTATTAATATATTATGATGCATGGAACTTCTTTAATTAGCTAAAAATTAAAGATAGCCCTTCCTTTGATACAAACAATGCTCAGATACATACTCATAGAAGCAATAATGTTCTGTGACACCAACACATTCTGAGTACATGCAAAAACATATAAAATAATAACAATAGTGGTTATCATTTATTGAGTGGTTGTGAAGTACCAGCTACTGGGCCAGCTGCTTATAGATACAGTTCACTGAGGCTTCTCTACATTTCCGAGAGTAGGATTTGCTGTGCCCACTTTATACATGAAGAAACTGAGGTTCCAGAATAATAAATGACTTACCAAGTTTCACAACTCATGAGAGCTGGCACAGGGATTTGAAATGCATCCTGCCTGATTTCAGAACCCAGAGAATTTGGCTCTGCCATGGTGCTGCCTTCATCTTGCTTGAAGGAGCTTGGATTGGGTGATGGGCCCGAGTCAGAGCCTTCAGACAGCCTCCTCATCATAACTGAGGTGTTCACTTGTTCCACAGTCCAGCAAATCTGAAGAGAAAAATCTTTCCTGACTAGAAGAAAACTGAATGCTCTTCACTGAGGAAAGGTTGAATAAAATGGGGGTATACGCTACCAGTTGGCTTAGAAGGATTTCCTCAAAAGATTTTTATCAGGAAAAAGCAAATTTATTCCCTCTGCTTCAAATCTAGGGAAAGGGACTTATGAGAACCATGGGCCTAAACCTTCTTTCCATGTTGAGAATAGCTTTTAGGAAATCTTTTAAGCTGCTATGACTTAATTCTTTATGTCTCCTTAACTTTTAAAAAATTTAACCTTCAAAGAAAAAAACAGGACAACATTAGAGGGGAAAAACATGTTTTCAAAAGACAAATATTTCTTACAGGTATGTATACCTATGGTCTTTATATCAAATTGGTTAGTTAGGTAAATTGACTGGTTTAGTACTTTGATTGGTGTTTGGTTTGTCAGTAGGTTGGATATTTTTATTATCCTTGAGAGTCAAGAAGGAATTTACCTTAAGCATTTAATTTTCAGAATGAAAACGGTTTTAATATTTTTTTCTTAGTAATTTAAAAAATCCAAATAGTGTAAACAGTGTGAAAAGGCCAAACAGTACATAAAACTTTAAGCAAGTAAAACATATATTGCAATGGTACCACTCTACGATAACCATCATTAACATTCTGGTGACCAAACTTTCTTGTTTGACTTAATGCATGATGGATGGGTAGATGGATAGATAGATAAAATTTTACAGAAATGGAATCATATCATGGATGTAGTGGTTCTCTTTTGAATTATCATTTTTACTTTTGCTAAACTCTCACCTACATCCATATAACCGCCCCTCATTGCCAGCCCTAGGTAATTCATATTAAGAACTTGTTTATCTTTGCCATATTTTTCTCATTATATAAACATTTGCAATGATATTGGGGATCTTATAACTGTTTGTTTCACAAAAATTAAATCAGATATTTCTTTGTGTCCTTGGTTTTTCTCCTTAAAAATATCTGGAGGAAACCTCTCCAAGTGAGTATATTTAAATATAATTTCTCCTTTTTAATAGCTGAATAATATGCCATAGTATAGAAGCACAATGTTTTATTTCCAAATGATAGTCACTTAATGTGTTTCTATTTTTTACAAATAGCATTAAAAGGAACATCCATGGAACTCTCTGTTTTAAATATGTAACGGTCCTTAATAAGATAGATTTTCAGAGATAGATTAGAGAATCAAAAGATATGTGTTCATCTTAATTGTACTAGATATTCCCAGATAGCTTTTCCTACCTTGTAAGAAGTTGCATTTAACATGAATATGTTAAATGACAAAGCAATATATACTGCTTCGCCATAATAGGAAATAAGAGATATTTAAAAGCATCTCTCTTTCATTCCTTCTTTCATTTAATCATATATTTGCTGAGCACCCAGATGCCAGGTACAAAACCGGTCAATCACTTCACTTAGGATCTTTGGAAATAAAAAGTAAAATTGCTAGGTCCAAGAATCTTCCACAAAGTTTCAACTACTTTGCAGTTACTCTCAAATATATCCCCCAGGAGAGCATTTGAGAACCATCTTTCATGTGGGATGGTTGGTTGGTTGATTGGCTGGTTGGCTGGTTGGCTGGTTGGTTGGTTGGTTTTCAGTCTACTCTACTCCCCCAATTCACAGAATCACTGTCACCATGTCACTATTATTGATAGGAGTGTACTACATTCTCCAGGTGTGTTATGCACACCTGAAAAAAGATTAAGAACCAGTGCTGCAGGCATTAATCCACCTAACCAAACTCACTGCAAATTACTGATTTAAAGAGCTACAGAATATTTCCGTTCCATAAATCAAATGGCTTGCTTTTCCTGTATGCATTCATATACCATTATTTTAGAAATGTTTACAAAATTTAACTAACCAGTCTTTCTGAAATAAACGAATGTTAAAGCAATTTGATAAATGCGGCCCAAGCAAAAATGTATCATTTAAAATATACATAACAGATTTTATAAGATCCCTTAAACGGAAGTTAAATATAGCAGCAACCCCAGAATTCAATAAAGAAACTTTGTAGAAACAACATAGCTTACATATTGCTCTGTGTCTGATCATATCATATAAAGCTATTCTGAATTTTATTTTTAACTGACACAGAGGAGAAAATGCTTTGTTAATTGAGGAAAGAAATCTTTGAATAGGAATAGCATTGACTTTTAAATTATTGGCCTTATCTTGCTCTTTTATGTATGCTCAGAATAGTGACAGCATTTTCAACAATGTTCCAAAAGCCATTTAGCTTACATAGTGGAATTATTGTGATACGGTACACTTAATGCATTTCTTCTTCAGAGCATCTTATTTCATAAAAATCAATTGGATTTTATGCCTTGCATAGAAGGCCCTTCTTCCACAATGAAGTCAGAGTTATTATGGGTAAGCTGGCCAGATATCATCAAATGCACTAGAACCTTTCTATAGTATTTATTGTTGTACAGAACGCAGTGTAAGGCACTCCACCACACTACAATAAGTAGCACTCTCTCTAGCAGATCTATTGTAGGAACTCTTTATAGGAAGCTATTAATAATACAAAGGTAGGCAAGGATGTCTTGAAGTTTTTCCAGAGAGTAAATGTACTGAAGTAACAAAAAAGCTGCCCTAAGACAAATTTACACATAAAGTGTTCCTAGAACAGTGCCTAGCCTGTGGTAGACATTCAACAGACACGTTCAATAAATGAAGGAAGGCAGTGCTCTCACATGTGCGATGACACAAGAGTGAGTCACTAACAGACACAGGCAAATGATATAAGTTCCATTGATGTACATAAGGAAATAATACTGGATTTTCATACCAACAAAGAAATCCGTGCTGGGGAACCAGGAGCATATTTCAAATTGAAGGAACAAAGTTCCATGCCCTTGGGAACCCAGCTGCCAATGAGATTTCAGAGTAAAATTCCATCTGGTTCTTCGGAAAAGCTTGTTTCCTTCCATTCTCAGGGGGCCTTATAACCTCCTGACTCCTTTCGACTCTTGTAGAGATCCAAAGTATGTGCTTGCCTGCTCACCAAATGCAAGTCACTGGTAACAACCATGGTGCATTCCTGACCATTTACTAAATGAAAGAATCCAGGGAAATGTTCTTTTATTTACCAACTCCCATTTTTAATAGGTCTGGGCTTCAAGCCTTCTTGAGATCTATTCCTACAGTATGAATTCCAAAGATGGAGTTTTAGCAAAGCTCCAGTACATGCTAATTTCCTTTAAATATCCATAGGAATAAATCTAATATTTCAAAGGTAATTTCTGCCAGCACAATGACCAAAAACAAATAACAAGATATATGTGACATAGAACCTCTATGATGAAATTAACATGCCCGAAACATATTTCATCCTCTTTTATGACACTGAATATAGATATCTATCGCTTTTTTCATGTTTATTAATTTTCTTTAAAATTCTATATACATACCTATATGTGGCTTCACATTAATACGTAAATGCGATTATATCATACATGTTATAATTTTGTAAGTACAGTATTTTTTCTTCTTTTTCCCCCACTTATTTCCTCCTTGCTTTTCTTCACTATAAAGTATAGAATTGTAACTACTTCATATGCAGTTTCATTCTATTCTCATATAATATAATTATATATGAATATACGTGTGCATATACATATATATACACACATATTTGGGATTGATCATGGGTTTGTTTTCAAAAATGGGATGTGGAATACATACGTCTCTCCATCTGCTTTCTCCTCTGGAAAACACCTCATGAATTCATTTCAAATCAACCCATGTGGTTCTATATCAGTCTATACTATGGCTGCATAAGAGTCCAGGGCCTTGATGTACCATCATTTATTCCACAATGACAGTATGTTTTCAATGTTTTGTTGTGAAGATGAATTCAAAGATAAATTCATTTCCCTCTGGATATGTCCATGCATGTGGGTGTTTTTCTTTAAATGTCATTGATCCACAAGAGTGAGATTGTTAAAATTATATAGATAGACAAATAATTATAGATAGATAGATAGATAGATAGATAGATAGATAGATAGATGATGATAGATTGATGAATGATGGGAAATAGATAGATTCTAGTAGTGTTTTTCAGACAATTCACATTTCTGTCAGTAACCTTTTACTCATATTACTGCACCAAAATTAGTTACTAGCCTTTCATTTTTCTTTATCAAGTAGTAAATATAAAGCTCTATCTCATTATTGAATTTCCCTAAATGCTAGTGAGTTTACAGCTTTTCGTACAATTGCAGGCTGTTTGCTATGGTCTCCTGTAAATTGCTATTTCGTATTCATTCCTTCTTGTGGTTTACAAATACAATTTTGTAATAATTTTTCAAGAGATGCATAAGTGCAGTAATATTAAGCATTTGTCTTCTACATTCAGATATTTTCCAAAATACCTTATTTATCTATTGCTTGTATATTATATCCTATGTAATTTTATCTAGTCTTCAATACCCATCTCTAATTTCATAATTCCTTGTTTTTTTATTTGGATTAAAAGCTTTTCCTTCCTTTTCTCTATATTTCCCAGGCTAAAATAATTTCCCTAGATTTTCTGTATGGTTTTTATTGTTTTACTCTTTACGTTTCAGTTTTTACCCCAGCTGGGATTTAGTTTTTATATACTGTAAAATGGAGGTCCTAATTTATTTTGTCATCCAGATATATGGCTAATTGAACAAGAACTACTCTTTTTACTCTGATTTAAAATGCCATTATATCCTATATTAAATTTTTATATACATTAGGATCCTTTCCTGGATTCACTATTCTGTTCTATGATGTACTTATCTGTATCCATACCAATACCATATTGATTGGAATGGAGATGTTTTTGTTATTTTATAGAGCAAGTCTCCCTTTATTATTATTTTCTTTCATAATTTTCTTAATTATCTTAAGGCATTTCTTCTTTCATATAAACTTTAATATAATTTTTATCCAGTTGAAAGAATCTCTTAAGATTCTAATTAGTAA